AGAGTTTTGTTTAAAAGTGAGGTTTTCTTGAACACATTTGGATTATTAATTCTTATGCATCATCTGTACTGTTAAAGGGATAGTTCAGCCAAAAAAATAAAATTCTGTTATCATTTACTCGCCCTCAACTTTTTGTAAACCTGTATAAACTTCTTTGTTCTGCTAAACACAAAGAAATAATCCAAATAATGCGTGTCAGCAAACAGGTTTGGGGCACCATTGACTTCCATAGTACGACAAAATACTATGGAACTCAGTGGTGACCCAAAACTGTTTGGTTGCAAATATTGTTCTAAAACATTAGTGCTTTAAAAAATAGTAAGGTCTGTCAGATTTGTCCTAGTATCTTACATTTGATCTTTTTGTTATTATTATTCTTAAAGGATGCAGATCCCCAAAAATGTAAGGATGTCATCGTGGAGGCTTTTCCAAAACTCAGACAAGGTGGTGGGTTTGAGTTGCTAAAAATATCTGGAAACACAAGGAGCCGTTATCTCAGCTTGATACCCTGTCCAAATGAGGGGTACCATGTAAAGTATTTGAAAGATCCTCAAAATCAAATTGGTCATGCAACCATTTTCATTCGTCCACTTCAACGAAACTTAAGAAGTTGAATCAGTAAGTTACATACTTTCAAACAGGGAATGTTTTTTAACATTTACATAAAACATGTATGACATGCTATTTTGCTGTGATGTTTTCTTGCAGGCAAGTCTTCCTAGCAGAGATGAGTTGATTGGACCACCTCAAAAATGTGTTGTATGTGGAGATGAATTCCCCTTTGCAGCTCTCAAGTCTCACAGTGATGAGTGCATGAGGTATTTGAGTTTTTTTTTTTTTAATGTGGGGACTCTTATGGAAATGTTTATTTATCCTTGGTTTGGGCTCATAGGACAGAACCATTATCTGAGTTACAGTAGACTTTGTCAGTTTGAACCAGTCAATGTTACTAAAATGTCATTATTGTTGTCGTTGTTTTGAAACCCTTTAAAGGCTAAATTCACCCAAAAAAATGTTATTAATTAGTCACCCTCATGTCTTTCCAAACCCATAAGGTTTTCGTTCATCTTCACAACACGAATGAAGCGCTTGAGCGCTTTCTGTACCTCCATTGACAGCCTATGCAACCTACTTTAAAGGTCCAGCATGGTAGTGAAGACATCATTAAAGTAATCCATGCCCTCACGTCAACTCAACATGCACGCGCTGTGGTTTTTTTGTGAGCTTGCGTCTAAGATCTATATTTTGTTCTGTTTTTTTTTGTCTCACACACAAAGCATGCGCATCTCTTCATACATTGAGGTTAAACCACTGGAGTCACATGGATTACTTTAAAGTCCGCATGAAATCAAAATTGACTTTATTTACTTTACTAGCGCACATTGCTAGTAAAGATGTGAACAACTAATCCGTGCAAGTTAATCCGCTGAAAAAAATTTTTTGTCTTCGTAATCTTTAATCAAAATCTGAACATTTACTTCCGCTCTGGAATGGCATTCCTTCTCTGATGACGTCAGTTTGACAGCTTGGGCAGAATATCCTTAAACACACCCCTCTAACCGTTAGATTGCTATGAGTGAGAGACAGAGAGGAGGAGCGCAAACATAAAACCATGCCCTCTATTCAATATTCCGTTTCAGCTGGAAATACATCACTACACTGAAATAAAGTCGGCAGCAACTTCCGGTTCACGCGGACTTTAATGATGTCTTTCCTACCTTTCTGGACCTTTAAAGTGTTAGTTGTATAGGCCATCAATGGACGACAGAAAACTCAGAATTCATTTAAAAGATCTTCATTTGTGTTCTGGAACAGCATGAGGGTGATAAATTGATAACATTTTATTTTTTGCATGAACTATCCCTTTAAACAGTCTGTGTTTACCCCTTTTCCTAAGGTCAGTGGAGGTCAGTGGTGAGGTAGTGAGTGAGAGAGCTACAGAAAGGGCCACTTCAAGCAGCACTGAAAGTACAGTTGTGAGGCAGGAGAGAAATGTTGTAAATCCCAGCATCAGATACTGCACAATGCAAGATCGAGAAAGCATGACAGTTTCACAGCTCATCACAATAGATCAAGAGAGCACTGAACTTGATGGTTTGTATAGTTGACTTGCACAATCGATCACAATGTACCTTCTAACTTATCTCTAATTAGGAATTCGGCACATTAGTCTGAGAAATACAGATTTCTGTATTTTTCGTCTTGTGGCTCACATGAACTGTGTTAATCTGACTGTAAGGATACCAAAATTGCCGCAAACAATTAATGAACAAACGGCAAATCTCATAATGTGCATTTGAAAACACATGCGCCTACGGTCTTCAAAGATTTACGGGTCATGTTTTTCTTCTATTTTTTTGTATTTACCTGATCATATGCCTGTTAATGTTTGTTGCTCTGGATAATGTCTCTGGTTTTAGATTGGAAATTTGAGCCAGATGCAACAGAGGCCTCAAAGAAGTACAGAGGAAACCTATTGAATACCGATGAAAGGGGAAAAGAGCTACTTTTCCAGATGGACATGAGAGACAGTCCTGAAGACAGGGAGAGAGCAATCTTGACTTTCTACAAGATGGCAAATGTAGAATGGGCTTGTCCTTTAAAATGTACACTACATGGTAGGTAAAGTAAACCCTATAATGCAGGGGTGTCCAATCCTGCTCCTGGAGGGCCACTGTCCTGCAGAGTTAAGCTTTTCCTGTTTTCTTAGGATAACTTTAAAAGAAGTTTACAGCAATTTGT